AACGTTATCTGGAGACAGACTGGCAAAGGTTCCGGGTGAACCCTGCCTTTGCCTTGCTGACGAAGTACAAGGACACAGTGTTTCGACCTGAACCCCCTGAAGGCCTTCCGGAAAAGCGTGAAATCGAGCACAAGATCGACATGAAAGGTCCTAACCTTGCAATGTATCGACAACAGTGGCGGCAGCCACCTGAGCAACAACGTGAGACGTGCTCTGGGTTGAAGACATGGTGAAGAAGAAACTTATCCGACCAAGCATCAATCCACACGCCGCATCAACCTTTGTGTCCGGAAACCAGTTGGATGGCGGATCGTTCACGTTTATCGGTACTTGAACTCCAATACGATACGACAGAGTATACCGATGACGAGGAAAGAAGACATACTGGACACCATGGCCGGAGGGTACTGGTTATCGACGATGGATTTGATGTCCGCGTATTATCAAGTTCGTATGCGAGCGGAAGATATCAAGTTCACAGCGTTCCAGGTGCCAAACGGACTCTGGAAGTACCTGGTGCTGCCCATGGGTGTCTGCAACGCGCCAGCGACGATGCATCGGTTGACGTCGAAACGTTTTTGCGATCTGGAAAACACGAAGTCTTTCTACGATGACAACAACGTCTTCACGAACTCGCAAAAGATTGAAGATCACTTGGACGCTCTCCGCAAAACATTGGACATTATGCAAGATAACAAGTTATATGTGAAGCTGCCCAAGGGGGTCTTCTGTGCCGAAGAGATTACATGCCTTGGAGATTTTGATGGACGAAACGGCGTGCAGATGGATCCAGATAAGATGCAGACCATCAAGGACTGACCAATTCCAAGAACGCAAGAGGAGCTTCACAGCTACCTCGGCTTAACTGGATACCTCCAACGGTTCTGCCCAGACTACGCAAAGCTGACAGCAAGTATGTTTACCTTGCTCAAGAAGAAGTCCAAGCGCGATGCGAAGATTCGTTTAGACGAAGAGCAGTCGAAAAACTTCAATGAACGGAAGAAACCAGTGTTGCATTTGCCCGACTTCAATCAGCCTATGCATTTGCGTACGGACGCTAGCAAGTTTGCAGTCGGGGGAGTCCTGTTCCAGGTTGTCGATGGTGTGGGGCTACCCATTGCTTACACCAGTAGGAAGATGAAATCCACAGAACTCAATTATCCGACGCAGCAGCAAT